AGCTCTCATGAGTCGAAAAGGTGCTGAACTGTCCACAGAGACAAAAGAATCAATTATTACTCTGTCGGAATCCGTGCAAAACAAAGCGGAACTGTCAAGAATGTTGAACATTCCAACAACGACTATCACGAGCGTTCTAAGCAAGTACCGAAGGACTGGCACAGTGGAGAGTTTGACACGAAGTGGCAGGAAAAGGAGCTTCACAAATAGAGATGTATAGGGATGTATTTGTTATGATGGTGTTGGAATTAGACAAGAACTTATGGCCCGTAGTTGTCTGGTATTTTGAAGGAAAAGAATACTTGTTCATGGATGACAGTGCGCCTGTTCACAGAGCCCACACTGTAGAAAATTATAAAGATCAAAACGAAGTAACCTCAATGGAATGGCCAGCACAATCACCAGATTTAAATGTAATAGAAAATATCTCGCTCTACATGAAGAGAGAGCTATAAAAGTCCGCGGTAGATATCACTACCAAAAATGATCTTCTGCGTGAAATCCAGAGCGTGTGGCGGAACATCGAATTGGATTATATAAGAAACCTTTACCAGTCCATATCTGACCGCCTAAATAATGTAATTGAAATGAAGGGTGATCTCACTAAATATTAAGGTGTTTTAAAGTTAGATTTGCCGCAAACGGTGTTAAAACTAACGCGCGTAAAATGTAAACAAACGCCGCCATATTGAAAGTGACGAATACTTATGTCCCCCGACTGTATTTCTTGCATGATAAAATGGGAATCATAACCCCCGCAGATTATGGAATATGACAGGGGTCTTGAACTCCTTTGAACTAATTCTTAATTTAAGGTTGCAATCTTGCTGTGCTGATCCCCTGTACTGTCCAGTGATATGACAATGGTCCCTAACACCGATATCTTTATCACTATACTTTTGACCACAAATATGGAACTCCTGAGCAGTTTTTAAACATTGCTCATCCTCATCCGTCATCTTCAGCGGTTTCAGAAAATTTAGTACTGATCATATTCTTACAAAATTCTACCTCCTTAAGCATCTCCTGCATAAACTTCTTTATTGGATCCTCTCCTCTGTAAATCTCTACAGGCTTAGTATATTTGTCATTATAACAGCAGACTACTTTATAAGCATAGCTGCACGCCGTATACTTTTGATATTTGTCAGTACAAGATTTAGTATTATTAGGGAAGCATCCTTCTATCTTTTCCGTGATAGCTTCAAAATCTGCATATATTACATATGGTACCGCATCTTCCTAGGATAATTTTGGAACTGTAACATATTATTCCCTTTCTGTGGCATCCTGATAGACTGCTGACCATTGATTACCATGCAGTTGGTCTTATAATTGGAAAGTATCTCTTCAGTACTAAAACATTGGAGACAGTGCACCCAAAAATGCTTTCTCTCCTTATGTTTGGTCTTATTATACAGTAAGCTATTAGAATCCTTGATAAGAACATTATGTTTCTTCTTGCCCTCCGTTATAAGCAGTAGGTTCAAAACTTCCTCGTTACGCTCTTTGGAAACAAATAGGATAAAATTGTTTGTTCTCATAGCCGAAAACACTAATATTTACAGTATCTTTCCACTGAAGTTTAGCATAATCTTTTATACTAATAGGAAACTCAATACCATCATAATCCAAGTCTAGCAATACTTCTCTGTCTGATTTTTTGATCCGCTGGGGATCTTTTTTCTGTGGGTTCAAATAGCGGATGTGACACCATCTGAAACACTCATTATCTTCATCTTTAATGCTAACTAATCCCATGATTGAATTACTAAGTTCCGTCGTAGTGGTATATAAGAGGAACCTTTCAATACATCATACACAACAGTATTAATATAGTGCTCATCAATGTTAAAAATAGTCCAGCCATACACCATTTCCATTCAATATTTGCTGTTGTGATAATTCTAGGCTTGGTAAAAAATCATTGGGATTAATGACAATCTGCGCCCTACTATTAGAATAGGGTGGCTTATTTGCATTAATATCATCCTTTCTTTTAATAAAAGTAAACCTTAAGAGTCTCCCCAAAATTTGAAACCTTTTGTATTACTAAGTATAGTATCAAACAATCTAGTAATTGCCAGTCTAGTATTTTGTAGCTGTACTAAGGCATCTCTATCAGACTTTAATGATATCTCAAATAATCTAGTATAACCATTCATAGCCCTTCATTTCTCACTGATTTGTGTTCTAGGGGCTAGTACTGGTTGTTGTTTCTTTGTTGGAGGTGCAGGACGAGGCCGATATTGTGGAATAGGATTATCCTCAAAATCCTGTATTAATTGTTGGACATTTCTCCTTAGTTCTTGTTGTTGTCTTCTTCTTCTTTAAGGGGGAATAGGGCGATTCGCTTCTTCCCTTATATTAACCAGATTTTGGAGTTCACTCATTTTGATTCCAGATAATAGCCTTCTGACTAGTTCATTACGATTGCTCATTATATTATTAATATATATATATAATATTTCTAATATCTGCGCTCATTAATATAATGATATTTATTTATTTTATTTATTTATTTTATTTTATTTGCCACACTAATTACAAAAAATATAGGAAAAGAAGAAGAAAAAAAAAAAAAGAAGTGGCGAGGAGACCTAACAGAAACTATAGGAGCTTATGAGAGGTTAGGCCTCCTCGAACTATGAGCTAGAGCTGTTTCACATCAATTGAAGAGAAGAAGGCGAAAAGTCGAAGATGGAAAGATTTATAAACTGTTTTCATACTTACTCAATAATTTAATCTTCAGTTTTTTCTTAAAAAGAGGAGAGGGATTGAGAGTTGATGATCTTGTTGTCAAGTGAATTAAAAACTTAGGCCCTTGAAAAAAGGGGCGAGAACTTCTTCGTGTTTGTGCGACAATACGGTAGACGGTAGGCCTGGGAATTTCTTGTATTGTAAGAGTGGAATTGATTGCTTTGAGAGAAATTGTTATTAAACTTTGGAGGTAAGAATGAATTTTTTGCAAGAATACATAAATTGGCCCAGTTGAAGCAAATGGATATCATTAAATTTTAGTATACCGAGGTCCTTAAAGATGGGGTCAGTATGAGCATTAAAATGTGATTTATTAATAATTCTAATAATGCGCTTTTGCAGGATAACAAGGCGGCGGAGATTAGTTTTATAGGTCGAAGCCCAAACGATATTGCAGTAGTAAAAATAAGGATAAATTAAGGAATAGTAGAGCATACGTAAAGACGATTTAGGAAGAAAGAAGCTGCATCTAGATATTATACCGATTGACTTCGCAACTTTACTTGCAACGTGAGATATTTCCGACTTCCAATTTAGGTTTTCATCCAAAATTACGCCTAGAAAATTTGTCTCCTTTACTTTAACAATATTTTGATTATCTATACTTATTTGAATATTACAAATTGAACGCTTTTGTCTTGGTTTGAAGACCATAAATGTAGTCTTTTTAAGATTTAGAGAAAGCTTGTTTGCTTTAAATCAGATTGACAGTTTGTCCATCTCCAAGTTTAACATATCTGAGAGATGGTTCAGATCTTTATGTGACATGAATACATTGGTATCGTCAGCGAACAATATCAGATTTAATAGATTAGAAGCATTGTTGATGTCGTTAATGTACAGTAAGAAAAATAGAGGTCCGAGGATAGAACCCTGAGGGACCCCACAAGAGATTTCATTTCTTAACGAACGGTGGCCATTATATTCAACTTAATAAGCGCATTGGATAGCCACGGTTTATTTAAACGGGACTGTTTTCTAGTTAATTTTTTTACAGGGAAGCACACATTATAACTTTCCGAATACTTCTTTATAAAGCTATTATACGCGTTTTTGGGGTCATGATAACCATCAAGGGAGGACCAGGTAATTTGTTTTAGCGTTTCGAGAAAACTCGCTAAGTTTTCTTTATTATTGTCTCGAATGACCACTGGGTCATGAGCGTGGCTGTTGGAAGAGTCATTATTTGAATGAATCGAAAAAACAGGTAAGTGATCAGAGATGTCAGTAATCAATAAACCACTTCTCGAGTGATCAAAAAATGTGTTTGCGAAAATGTTATCTAGCAATGTTGCGGTGTGAGAAGTTATTCGGGTGGGACGTGTTATCATGGGAAAAAACATATACGAGTGCAATCCATCAAGGAATTCGCCAGTGTTTTGGTGATGTTGAAAGTTAATTAAATTCAAATTGAAATCACCCATAATAAAACATATTTTGTTCTCTCTAGAGATTTTCGCTAACAGATCATTGTGTTTTGACACAAAATCACCAACTCTCTGATTAGGTGGCCTGTAAATAACACCACCGATAATATTTTTCCCATAGGGTCTTGATATTTCAATAAACAAAGATTCTGCAACATCAATATCGTCAAAACTCAAGTCAGCGAATTTTAAAATCGAGATTGTCAGAAATATATAAGCCAACACCACCACCAGTTCTATTTGGGCGATGTTTGTGAATAAAATTGAAACCATCTATGTCTACTGAATGGGAATAATCATTTAGCCAAGTCTCAGAAACGCCAATTAAAGAGAACTTAATATTCAAGCATGTCAAAAGAATAGAAAGGCTGTTTAGATTACGTTGAAGACTACGAATATTTAGGTGTAGGAGCGAAAAATCTTCATCACATAAATTATCATTTCTCAACATTTCGTTAAATTTGTCTTCAATGTAGTAATCACAGTGGACGTCGTCTGTGCAGAAATTAACATCAGGATCTATATCGTCAGAACGAAAGTTAGGGAAAGATTGTGACTTGAAAATAAAGGATCGTAATTTAGGCTGGAAAGTCTGTCAGGATCATAACGGACCGGGCCATGTTGAAGTTCGTAAATTGCAAGGTTAAAACTATAATCGTCTAAAAGCATTAAAAGGTAAAGTGTGATCAGGAATCGAAGCCATGGCTAATAAATAATAAACACATAAATACGTACTATAAAAATTATAGAAAGCTAAAGCACAAAACTACACAGCTACTTAACTGGGACGCTCAATTCTGTCTTTAATAACCAGCCTGTCTAAAACGAAATAGGCTATTTTCCCATTTCTTCTCGCTTCTTCAAACTTAGGACGCTGCTCTTCCCTCTTGTCAAGGGTTTCTTGTGCCAGGTCTTCATTAACAAAAATTCCAGGGGCTTGATTCTCCTTGCACTTCTGATGATCAGTTCTTTTTGCTTCCAATCGCGGAGGCGACAGACGATGGTCCTTGGACGTCTTACGGAGCCAGTTGTAGCATTTGCTCTTCTGCCGACTCGATGAGCCCGCTCGATATCCGGTTCTTCATTGAGGTTAAGCTTCTCTTTGAGTATCTCCTTTACTTTGGTTTCGGTGTTGTCCCAAGTTTCTGCTTCTTCCTCTCGAATGCCGTCTATTCGAATATTACTCCTTCTACTTTGGTTCTCCAGATATTCGATCTTATCAGTGTGGTAATCGAGGGAACCGCACATCTTTTCAATCTCTTCTTCGACCTCATGCAGTCGGGATGAGCATGGTTTCAAGTCCTTGATATCTTTCTGGGAGAACTCGAGGCTCACCTTCAAGTCGCAAGTGTCTTTCTCGTAAATATCTAGTCTAGCTTTGATTTCTGCGATATGATATATGTCTTTAAGCCTCGATCAGGTCACGTGATCCCCCCAAATTCCAGGAAAAACCCATTTGGCCACTTCCAGGAATTCCGGAATATGAAAAATGCGCTCCTACCCCCATGTCCTATACTACTGCCTCTAAACTGGTTAATCCTACGCCAAGACAAAGGCAAGATTCCGACAAAGTGCATGTCAGGGACTCCCTTTCTCCTCCTTTCTAAGTCCCCCCTACCCTACGCTCACAGTATGTACGGGCATGTAGGTAGATGGGCGGAAGTAAGCTGATGTCATAGCGAAATTTCCTTCAATCGATGGCTTTCCAATTTCTATAGGAATGGAGGCTCCGCGCCAGGACACTCCGCTAAAAAATTGACCAATAGAATAGTTACCTTAGGTTTTCCTTTTCTTTATGGCTCATCTCCATTCGTAATAATTCATTATTCTCCTCAAAACAGTTTGCTTTCCTCCCCAAATGTCGTATTTGTCTAATCTGTAAACCAAAGAAAAAACCATGACCATGATTAACAAGACGCCTCAAGTCGTTTCCGTGGGATGCAATGGCGTATGGGTAATGGGTAATGTGGTTGTATGTGAATGTGGTAAATGAGGGTGATAAAACCATGTGTGCAATATTGTTGCAAAATTCCTTAACTTGTAGAAGATATTGCGATCGAAAAGATCCACGACAGGTATTATTCAAAAAGGGTTAAATTTTTTACCCAATTTCACACCAAAGTTTCTACTAATGTATTGACCATTTCCCGATCAAATCATCATGTTAGATATAGTAATGACTTGTTATTCCCGTAATTGTATAATTAAGTCCAGGCGTTTTGTATTTTAGTAGTAGACATAATTAAAAAATTAGCCTTTTGGGACTACGTGTGACAGTAAGGATTTTGTGGTAAAATTATCGTTGAATATTGAAATTGCGGCGTTGTTTATAAAGTTGAAATAACACTTATCTTTTTTATTGCCATTATACAAAGCGAATATGCGAAGAAAACTGTGTAAAGTTAAATGCCACATACAATTTTTACGGTCAAAAGTTCGCTATGTGTGCGTTGGGAATAACACCAGAAGACAACAGGTTTCATTTCAAGTATAGTCAGTATAGAAAAAAAAATAAAGGTGAGTAAAGGACAAAGACAGATCTAGGGACTTCATACAAAATCACTGACTACTAAATTAACTTCATATATAAATGACACCCACATACTGCCTCTGTTCAAGTCCTGCAGTTTGGAAACTGAAGTGCAAGATACCTGCCGACGTTGATCGACGGAGGAGTCAAGCCAGACTCGAAAGTCTGATTACCTAAAATCGTAAAGTTTGAAATTTTCTCCAATAGTTCGGTCTTCCTTTTCAATTGTATATCCACGCACAGTTCTTTAAGGCTTGCATTCATGTCCAGTTTGGCTAAAGATTAAAATTATGGAGGTCAAGGAACCAGGTATTACACTTGCTGCCATTTTGTTCTACTTGTGCCCAGTCGCTCCTCGGCCAGAACCTGCCTGCATGGTAGAATGGGTTCCCAGACAGTGATGACAGCCTAATCTGCGATCAGCAATCACGATCGCAGGCTAATGATAGCTTGGCATTCTGACACACCGCCACCCAATAAAAATTCCTGCTTGATTAAAACTGTAATTTTTATTGTAGTCCATATGAACGTATTATTCCGCTTACGTAAATCTCACAACACCATCTTTTATGCAACATTTTTCGTGTTTGTCAAACATTTACCCGTCTATTGTTCATCTCAATAATGTCCCTGATTCTGTTATGAATAACAGAATCAGAATCAGCCCCATGAGCTCAGGATATGAGCGCTATATGAGCGCTGTATAAAAAAAGTTATTATTATTATTATTATATTGCAACTCTACGTATTGTGCTAATCTAGGGTTGGGAGAGTAGATCGTTGACTATTCTAAAGCGATAATGTTAGAAAAGTGGCAATATATCTATTAGTCAGTCCTTTCATATCTGATGACGGGAGCTGTCAAGGTCAAGCTATCACAAGTTCTGTAAAAGTTTTTAAGCCTTAGCCCAATTAACAATTAACGTGCGGTGAAAATGGTTCAAGGGTTGCGCACTCTCCACTTCTCTCATCTCTCTCTCTTTTTTTGCGGGCAATTTCTACATGAACCTACGCTCTTTCAAAAGCGAATATTCGCCTATTTACAAGCTTAAGTCTGATTTGATTTTTCTAACAATACAGAAATAATCAGTTTCACATAAGTTGGACAGTGTAGTAAGATACAAACAGTGACTGGTAGACTGAATTTAGAGCGTTAGCTGGTTGAGAACCCTTCTGCGCAGGTGGTATCTTTCTGAACGCTCGACTATTGCCTCAGCATCTTCTTCTTCGAGACTAACCAATGCTGCTGGTTGCTGATCGATTTTTGTCATTGCAGCCAACCTCGAAAAATAGCTATGAACTTGCTGGGGGGGTGAGCCACTGTCTTTTTGCCAAATATCCGAGCTCCCTCCTCGGTGCGTACTGTGCGCATTCGTGCTGAAGCTTCGGCAGGGGTGACTTTCCGACCAGTTTCTTCACCAATCATGAACTGCTCGAGCAGATAGTTCTTAACTTTAACAGAAAACCTGCTTCTTCGCTTTGATTTAGTCTGCGCCCACCCCATAGACAAAACATTTTCTTCAGTTACTCCAAAGGACGAACTGGCCGTTAAGGCACAGGAGGGATTTTGTGGTTTCAAACTTGAGCAATGCTCAGCCCATTTGTGTCTGATCTGGTCATATTGTGACTCTTCGTGGAGTTTAATCTCATGGCGGCCAAAGTCCAAGTGTCTCTGAAGGGTTTGATTTGTTCTGAACGTCTTGATACAGCCCTGTTCGGGGCAAGTGAACCAAGGAATGCCATCGTCATTTGTAGGAGAAACGACGGTCTGTTTGGCTTGGTCACCAGGCGGCCGCGTCGAAGCTTCCTTTAACAACCCGGTAGCGTTAACCGGATCACAAAAAGGCAATATTACTTTCACCCCTGTCTCACTCTGTGGCTGACCCACCTTAGCAAGCTCTTGTTTGGAAATTTTCCTACCTTCTCCAACTTTAAACGCCTTCGAGACAGTCATTCCACCATCTTCAATATATTCGAAGTTGTTTAACTGGCTAATACCACTTAACTTGGGCGCGTTAGTTGTTTGCTTTCTTGTGTCTAATTCAATCACTGAAGCGTCTTCCTTCGGTTTAAGAGAACGGACAACGTCATCTTTCATATACGATAAAGCGGTGTAAAATTTCCACCTCGACTGTTGACCTTCTGTGGTTTCTTTCTTTACTTCCCTTGTCAATGCCGTTCTAAGGCTATGTAGTTGTTTTTTGAGACATCTTGGTGAAATATTAAATTTTTGAGATAACTCATCCAGAGCTCTTGACCTTCGTGGCTTGTTTTTGTACTCTGGTCCACAAGTTTCCCACAGACACGGGTGCTTTTCAAGTTCTTTGCACAAATCTTTTCTTTGGGCCTCTGACATTTTTTCACTAACAAATTCACAATCTTGGGTTTCAACATTCTCAACCTCCACAACCTCGGCCATGTTTACTTCCTGCCCAAATCTGCCCAAGGTCAAGAGCGCGCTTTACTCACCATCTTTCCCGCGTTTTTGGTGCGGAAAATTGACCAATCACAGGTGTTGTGAAGCGTAGCAAGTTGTGACGCGAATCATAAAATTGAAAGTTTGTTGCAAAAAGTAGAACTCAGGCCAACTTTGCGCAACATGTTGCCACAACTTGCAACATCGAAATTTGTTTCGTGACAAGTTGAGAGCGAAGGTGGTAATACGGGCAACAACGCTTTTCAACTTGCAACGCAACAATGTTGCGCGACAAGTTGTGCGAAAATGTTGCCCGTATTACTTGACCTTAACGTTGAGCTGCGATTGTACACCTTGTACACATCTTCATTCTAGTCTAGGTAGTATCTCCACGTTCCACTCAATTTCAATTAAATTTCTTAACCACGAGACAGTCACTTTACCCACAATTCATACAGTTTTCGTTGTTTTAACGTTCATCTCTTGCGGCAGTGAAGGCCTAAAGTTACTCACCTATTTTCTCTTCCATGTTTTCCAAAACACTTAACTGGCTTTCTAAAGCAAGGGCCTTTTCACAGGAGGCCCTGCTTTCGTCTTCCAGCTCCTACAAGGGTCAAATAATGAACTGAGTAACACGTTAATTTGGTACTTCTTAATCACTTCGTCTGCTGAAGGGTGGGCTCAGTTGATAGAGCATAGGTCTGCAAAGGGTCGACCTCCGACCAGAACAATACTCACAAGTTGGACCTCTTCAATGGAGGGAGAGGTCATATCAATACAGTGTAAAGCACCGTTAGACCAAGTATGTTTTTACTTGTTATTAGCAACGTTTGTACACAACTACTCTGACATTAAAATAAAACATCATTTTTTTGCTATCTCTGATACGTTTCGTGCAGAAATAGCAGGGAAAACACCTCGAATAATCATGTTCCTTCTTAAAATGACTTGGTTGATTTATTAACCGTCAAAATTATGAGCAAAAATTTACAGCATTGTCACCAACATGGGGAATGATGAATGTAAATTTCACTCAAATGACGATTGATCAAAATTCTTTTATTTATAACCAGGTTTTACAACACTAAATTGTTTGTTATTGCAATTCACAACTCACCTTCACCAAACTCTCCAGACTTCTGAGTCTTTCCTTCAAATTTTCGTTCTCTTCCCGGAGAGAATTGCTTTTTTCTACCTAAAAGAGTAAAAATAATAGTTTAGTCAGTTTCCGTATAAATATAGAGAGGTGTGACCCTGGGTCCTCCTTGTAGGCATATTAGTCAAAAGAGCTCCCCGACATTCCCTGGTTCAAAGCTTCCTCTGAGGCTGGTATCACGTTAACTCTTTAAACCCGAAGATCAAAATTTTAAATCTCATTTGTTGCTCCTATTCATTTCCTATAGAAGAAGTGGGGAGAAGTTTATAAAATATCAAACAAATTCATCTTGTGTTAACATGTCTTATATTCTCATGACCACTCTTTTTCACAAAGCATTGATATTACAAGGAGAACATTCATGGTGATCAGAGTTACAGTCATCAATTCATAAGTTTTTTAGACGTCTTTTAGTTGATGTGTACAGAGGTGTGAGTTCCGAACCAAGTCATGTTTGGAAGCTCTTTAATCCTTCGAAATAAGATGTGGAATGACATCATTACTTCAACCCTGTTTCCTCACACCAGTCTGTAGAACGAACAGCTCTTCAATGAAATGAATTCAAACACATTGTA